GCTTTAAGACATTTTAATTGATCCAACTAACCAATAATGCATGGTTTCTCGTCGGCGGGCAAATTTCCAGCGAGGTCTCGTCACGTGCATGGCACATGATGTCTCAAAACTCGTTTTTAGTAGCGGCGACGACAACAATCTCGTCATATTCAGCCGATTCGATGGGGTTAGCGATCTCAGGCGGCGTCATAACCGTTATTTCTCGACGTTATATCTCGACCAAGCTAAATGACGACTTCAACCTCAAGCCTCTTCCGTTGACTAGGGGTGTGCAACGGTCGGTTCGGTTCGGTTTTTACTAAAATTTGAACAACCGAACCGAACCGTCTATAATTCAAAACCAAACCGAACTGTTGCAAGTCGGTTCGGTGCGGTTCGTCGGTTTGTTCGGTTCTAACTTCATCCAACTTTTTATCAAACAAAGAACTGTGTTAAAGAAAAAAAAAGATATCAACAAAGTAGGAGATTATGAAGCATTAAACACTGATATAATGATATTGTTTTTAACCCATAACGATTCAGAAAATGAGTTTAGGGTTTGAGTCTTTGACTCTTTGGGGACGGGTCGGGTAGGGTTTGATATCAGGAGTAGTATTGCACTATATTCGGTCGGTTCGGGTCGGTTCGGGTTGAAAAGTTTTCAAACCGACCCGAACCGCCCTACTCATAAAACCGATTTTTTCGGGTCGGTTCGGGTCGGTTCGGTCGGTTTTTTCGGTTTGGACCGAACCATGCTCAGCCCTAGTCGCCGCTACTAAAAATGAGTTTTGAGACATCACGTGCCATGCACGTGACGAGATCTCGTCGGAAATTTGCCCGCCGACGAGAAAACATGCCTTATTGATTAGTTTGATCAATTTAAATGTCTTAAAGCGGGTTTGCCTATTTAAAATACCTTGTTGAAAATTAGGGTGGAATTAAAATACTAATATAGGTATTTAGCCGTTTGTTATTACACCTATATCTATGCTATATTATAAAAAGCTTAGTGAGGATACCAACAAAAATAAATGAATCACGCACAATCAATTACTGAATTACCCTAACAAGGGCATTTTCGTAATTGTGCGTAGGGATTGCTTTTCAAGGTTGCGCCAGGTAACGTCACATCAGGCCACTGTTCGTGCATTTGGCTTTGTCATTTTTTCATAAAAACCCCTTAGAATGTAATATAAACCCTTTACAATGTAATATTTTGTAAACTTTTTTCAACAGGGTGCATTTTGTAAATGTTGAAATGCATAAATAAAGTAAGATGAACTAAATATAAATTTCCTCCAAATAAAAAATAAATATAAATTTCACAAGTGAAAAATAATATATACATCCTTCTCAATTAAAATTGATAAAAATACCGATGTTCTTAATCCTCTAACCTCTTATCACTTTGTATTAAGTTTTAGAAATTCTCAAACCAATAGAAAAGCAATCTAAGTTCTTCAAAACATGAAACAGATCCAATCTTAAAAATATCGAATAATAAAAAGAATAAGGAATATGATTTACTATCCTTTACAATTTGCAATTATTGTATACAGTTTATTCAAATTATTTTCTTAAATTTATATATTTTTTAACTCAAGTGTAACAACCATATATTTATGTACACGCTAATTAGATGACTCTTTGATGCAAATTCCTTAACTATTTATTATTTTTTATGGTGAAAAAATTACTCTACATAATCCTTTTAGTCTATATTTAGTACAATAAGATGTTAAATTCTGATGATCTAGTAAATTCTTTCTCAGAAGCAAATTTACAAGAGCATTATTATTGAATAAATAAAAACTTCAAGCATGCTAAACCCAATGATAAGATAAGTAAAACTTTAGAGTATTCGAGTAATTTTTTATTAAAAAAAGCAATAAGTTTTCATCTTTATTGCACGTGCATTCACATGTGTCATAATACAAGTGCTAAATAATTGAACACATTTACATCAAAGTATAGTTTCTAGAATGTTGATGTTAATAATCAATTAGTTAAGTAAGAGGTGGTTTAGGTTGTCGGGAGCCCTCTAACTCCTCCAAATGTTTAGTTTTGGAGAGAGCTGCTCCTCCATGCACATATAAGAATTCGTAAGAGGACGGAATTGGGTTCTCCGGTTGTTCCTCCGACGATCAAGTCTGCAAATTGCTTGAGTGCAGAAGAAAATGAACTGTAGAAGTTCTTGAACTTTTGGAGCAGGAAAATTGCTTACCTTTGTGCTAAGAATAGCCCTCTCACTTATAATAATAGTAGAGGGGCGGTTTGGTAACTTTGGCTGAGTATGAGCTGACGGCTGAGTCAGTACTAGCTTTACAGGTGTCGGCTGCCCAGTGGTGAGAGTCACTTCAGCGTTTAATGTGAAGTGACAGGAAATACGTGGTGCCGACATGGTCTGTTGTGTTATAAAGATCTCCAGGGACGAGAAATGATGATTTTAACCAGGCATTTAATGTGATGGCGACCAGCTGTCAGCTAGGGGGACCCAAGGTGTGTCGTCGCCTTTCTACTAGTCGAGTAGAGGGCCGAGAAGTACCGCCTTTGGAGTCGGGAGTCGATCTGGCGAGGAGGTCGACGCATACTGCCTTTTGAGCCAGCTACGCGAGATGTCATCCCATCGAGTCGTCTGAGCTTGGGGACTTTTGGTTATCTCGGAGTGGTGAATTGATTTAATTAGACAATTAACGTGGGACATTTGTCTGCTACTAAATGAAGATTATTATTCAATAATTGAAGTATTATAACATAGCATATTGAAGTTCCTTGAATAATTTGCAGCTTGGTCAAAGCCTTTGTAGCAAATTAACATACACACAAGAGAAAATTGTCATATTTGTCATATTTATTCACTGCATATTAAATCAGCTAAAAAATTGCATCACAGTTAATTGTTAGCTAGTTGGTGTAACAAATTTGCATGCTAGATAATTCAAATAACCCAGGAATTCTTTTCAAATTCATCCAAGCTATATTATCATCAAAAGAATAGATAATTGATTATGCAAGTAAATCTTTGTATTCAAAGTAACTAAAACTTGTAGAAGAAAGCATTGAGGCAGATAATGAACTGCAAATAAATCATTCAATTTGACCCAATCAACTGTGCATTAACAATAAAAATAGAGCTCCCCTGGATGTAGAATATCTCAGTTGAACCTGTTGTGCGCGGCGCGGAAGCCAAACAAACAACCAACTATGATGCTTTGAGAAACCAAACCAACAAACGCCGAGAGAAAGACCAAACAAAACACAAACACCAAAGTTTTACGTGGTTCGGCAATTGCCTACGTCCACGGGGCAAGAAGGGGGAGGGTTTCCACTAATAGAGAAGGAGAGTACAAATTGAGATTACAAATCGCTCAAACGAACCAACTAATCTCACCAACAAATCTCTCAACCTCTCAACCAATAACCCTAACAAATAGCTCAGAAAGATCTCTCTTTTTGTGCTCCAAAATCCCCCAAAACGCTCCTACAAAACCCTCAAATCGTATTGGTATTTATACCAAAACAGAAACCCAAACAGACTGCAAATAGGAACTCTAACTTTCCAAAAAACCCGTCATAAGTCGACTTAACAGTCTGCTTAGAGGCTTAGTAATATCCACGAGTATTCTCAGCCGCATCTTGTTATCCTGCAAATCAATCCCTTTAAGTTCTCCTATAAGCGAGCCACAGTCTCTGGTACACCTCTCGTTCATCGCAGCTAGTCACTACTGGATTTACACCAAAATAAAGTTGAAGAGAAATCCAGAGAAGTTGGGGCACCGACCCCACGAGGAATAATCCAATTGAGCAAGTTTCTTTCAAAGCACCATGGCCCACCATCAAGCACTTTCTCCCTATCTGCATCATAACCGAATCTAAAAAGGAAAGTATTCCTTCCACTATAATATTCCACCTAGAAGGGGGCATCTACAATCCATACCTTCCTAAGGACACGCTCAAGATTATCTCTATTAGCAATCTTTCTACCAAAAACCTTCCCCATGAGACAGTTGTTAAGGGAAAGCGAATCTGTCCAGTCCTTAGTTGATAGAAAAACATGGCCATCTTTGTCGTCTAAGCTGCATTTGGCACAAAGCTCGGCCAGCCCATCATCATCAATTCTCGACATGTTCCAAATTGATTTGATGCCGTTAATATGAGACCGATAGACAGTCTTAAAACGGCGATGCCGTTAATTTGAGTCTGAGAGACGGCTTAAACGGTGATGCCGTTAATTGGAGACCGAAAGGCGGCCTTGAAATAGCAATGCCGTTAATTGAATATGAAATGACGATGTCGTTAAATAAATATGAAACAGTGATACCGTTAATTAATTATGAAACGGTAATGTCGTTCGTGTGAGCCGAGAGACAGCTACCTCGGAGGCCGAGATGTAGGAAACCCCGAAGACTGCCGTGAGGGTTGGGGATGGGACTCAGATCTCGTCAAATAATTCGCTGTAAAACTATCGGAGTGAGACATGAAGGGTCGTGCCTCACAAAGATTGTAGAAACCGGCCAGAGAAAAAAAAATGAAAAGAGAGGGTCTTGCTGATGTAGATCCGTTACGAGGGAGGGGGAGAGAAGCATTACGTGCTTCCAGAGAGGAAAAGAAATGGACTGAGATTTAGGGTTTTCAAAACCCTAGAGAGGAGGCGGCTACAAGAGAGAGTGCCGACTGAAAACTAGGGTTTTCAAAACCCTAAAGAGGGCGGCTACAAGAGAGAGAGCCGACTCTTTAACGAAAATTTTGAAGGACTATTCTCTTATGTTTATTTTCTCAACATTTATGTTCTTTATCAATTTATCATGCCGAGAATACATCCAAGAACATTTCTGATAAAATATGGAAAATCTTGATCATTAGTCCATCAATATTTCTCTGGTTGCCGTCAATTACTGGGCAATGTCAAGGACTTCCTCTTTTGTTTGTTTGTTTATTTATTTATGAGAAGGCCATCACCTAACAAAATATCTTTCTTACATAAAACAAACAGAAGATGCAACTCATACAAACAAGCGAAGTAGAATAAAAAAAAAAACAAACAATTTCCCTTAATTATGCAACAAACTACAGTTCACATTTATTGCTACTATTCCAATTATATCAAGAGAATCACACCGAAGTCACGAACATAAACACACGCATACAAAGAAACTGAAGAAGCGACTATTTGGACTTCCACATCTTATGATAGGACCAAATGTTGAAGGATCATTTTCTGGACTGGATAGTTATGTTAATTGTTTGTGTGCTACCGTTTCCTCCCCTACCACCACCACCTCCTCCTCCTCCTCCGCCTCCTCTTTGATTGACGTTGATGTGCTTTAGTGCATCGACAATCTTGTCATCTCTTTCTTTTAGTTGCTAATAACAATTAACAAGGAAAAAGATCGAGTTAATATATACTTAAAGCATCATGAAAATTTAAGCGCGTGCACACAAAAATTATATCAAAGAAAGATTTTACCGGTGCGATATGGTTATAATACGCATTGGAATCATAGTATAAACAGAAAGGGCCACAACTATTGCCTGGCCTGCAAGACGAGCGTGTACAACTCTGATAACAAATAACATCAAAATTAAGAACACGTCGATTAATTAGAGAGCTAATATAAAGAATTTCCATTGCTAATCATGATATAACTAGCACAATTAGAGAGAGAAAGAGAAAAGGAGCTAATATAAAGAATTTTCATTGCTAATCATGATATAACTAGCACAATTAGAGAGAGAAAGAGAAAAGGCTCACCATTTTTCTTGGTTTCTCAAGAGCTAATGGTCTCGAAATTTACTGAGGATGTGAAGATTAGCGAATAAGGAGCATGTTTATAAGAGGGCTACAAGGTTCAACCAATAATATAGAAGGACTTCTTAAGTCTTTCATACATATTATTCTATTCAAATAGTTATATAATTAGTCTTCAATGCCAATTGCTGGGTAGGACGGAGGTGGATATAGACAATGACTCAAAATGCTTGTCTACCTTTTAGAACAGGTTTTTATTTTATTTTATTTTTATTTTAGGGAGACCACCTAATAAATATGGTGGTCATATAGAAACCATCTATAGTTTTTAATTTGTATTAAAACCATCTAAAAGTATATTTGCTCTTCAATCAACCATCCACGCCTAATTTTTGTTGAGTTTTTGTCCAAATTTCCATTACTACCCTGAATGAGGACATATGTCATCCATGTTTTTCCCAAAAATCATTAAGGGTAGTATGGAAAATTTGGCCAAAAGTCAACAGCATTGTGAGTGGTTGATTGAAGGGAAAACAAACTTTTTAGGTGGTTTTGATATAAATTAAATATTATAGGTGGTTCCTATATAATCACCGTATTTATTAGGTTGTTTCTATAAAAAAAACCTTTAGAATATTTATGGGATAGTAAAATAGTTATGTCTTCTCTGGGTTATGTTGTGACTGATGCTTTGAGAAACCAAACCAACGAACGCCGAGAGAAAGACCAAACAAAACACAAACACCAAGGTTTTACGTGGTTCGGCAAATTGCCTACGTCCACGGGGCAAGAAGGGGGAGGGTTTCCACTAATAGAGAAGGAGAGTACAAATTGAGATTACAAATCGCTCAAACGAACCAACTAATCTCACCAATAAATCTCTCAACCTCTCAACCAATAACCCTAACAAATAGCTCAGAAAGATCTCTCTTTTTGTGCTCCAAAATCCCCCAAAACGCTCCTACAAAACCCTCAAATCGTATTGGTATTTATACCAAAACAGAAACCCAAACAGACTGCAAATAGGAACTCTAACTTTCCAAAAAACCCGTCATAAGTCGACTTAACAGTCTGCATAAGTCGACTTGGCAGAGCGAAAAACAGCAACTGGAGAAGAGATCATAAGTCGACTTATCAGATCTGATAAGTCGACTTGCCAGAGCCCAAAATCAATAATCCAGAGCAGAACGTAAGTCGACTCATGCACAAACATAAGTCGACTTACCATAAGTCGACTTATGCCTGTGCATGAGTCGACTTATGACCAAAAAACTGCTTTTCTAAGTTCTTCTCCACAGAACCAATTTCCGTTTTGCTAGTGGCTCACAGAAAATAGTAAAGTTAGATCGAAAGTAAAATGATTAAAATGAAACCCTTTATCAAAAGTACAAAAGGATGCAATTACCAAAATATGATCTTATTAATAAACAGCATATTGTTTCTGACAATGCTTCCAGTTACATTTTATTTATTGTATTTCCCAAAGTGAATACAAATTTATAAATCAGATTATAAAAGGTGTTCGGTAGATTTCTCATTCGATGTAGAATCATAAGCATGACCAGAGCCCATCAAGAAACTACTCAAGATGGATGCATCATATGTATCGTGATGAAGAGACATTCAATTTTCAAGCATTTTAAATAAAGTTACTAGTACTCTAATGCATGCCATGTGTTGTTATCAAATTGTTAAAGTCATAGAGATATATGTTTTTAAGTGTATTTTCTTGATTAGTTTTTAAATTTTCCAAGTTTGAGGGCATTTTTGTAAATTATTTCTGTTGATGTTAATAATCAAACGAATAATATAATGGGGGTGATGTTGATTAGGGGCCGCTCACTTCTCTGAATATCTGATTTTGAGTTGAGTAGCTTCAACATGCACAAGCAGCGATTCGTGAGAGGACGTAGACTAGTTTCTCCGTGGTTTTTCTGACGATCAAGTCAGTTGATGAATTTGGGTGGAAAAATGATGAACTATGTGAGTTCTGAAGTGTAATGTAGTAAAATTCTCAGATATTGCTTGGAAATAGCTTGGAAAAATCCACTTGGTATTTATAGCACCTCTATTTATAGTGGTGGAAAAATAGTAGAATGGTAATCTCGACCGAGTACAAGATGGCGGCAAACGAGTATGGCATGGCGACTGTATCAGTACCTACTTTATAAGTGTCGATCGACGAGTTGAGGAGAGGTCACCTCAGCATTTAATGTGAAGTGATCGGGGGCATGGCGGTGCCAACATGGTTCGATGAGTCATGAAAACTATCAAGGCTAGAGGCATGATGACGCCTACCAATCATTAAATGTGATGTCAACGAGTCGTCAGCGGGGAAAGCTCAAGGTTGAAGTTGTCCTTTGGCTTGACCGAGAAGTAACACATTTCGAGTCAACCGCGCAAGGTGCCGAATAACTGGTCAAGTGGGCTCGTAGCGAGTCGTTTTCGACAAGAGACCCGACAAGTACCACCCTTCGAGTTGACATCTGCCCTTCGAGTCAACCTAAGGAGATGTCGACTCGGAGAGTCGGCTAAGTCGAGATTCTTGGGGGTTCTGACCGTCGATCTGATTTGAGCGGTGCATGTAAGAGGACACCTGTCCGTTGCTGGTAAATGACCGTACTTTGGCGACTGAAAACACCATAACAATTTCCCAGTGTGAAGGTATTCTCTTTGATTTTGTCAAGTGTGAGGGTGTTTTTTTTTTGTTTTTTTAACTGCAAGGGCTTTTTTAAAATTCTGAATATGTGGCTTATAATCACTAAAAGAGGGGTTTTTTCTTAATTAATTAGCTGTGATCAAGCATCTTTGTACTCTCTCTCGCAACTACGGCCAAAGGCTGATAGAAGTCGGCAAATTAAACAATGTGACTCAGGACCCGTGACTTCAATGAGAATAGGTGATTGATTCAAGTTACCAACGGCCCAAACAAGAAAGCACCAATAGATTAATTGAATCCCATTTTCCAAAACAGGAAACGAACTGAGAAGTAAAAACTAGATCACAGAATCCAACATAAAATTGCATGCAAATTAAGCAGTTTCAGATTACCAGAATCAAATCAATATCCATATCTTCCTGATTCCTCCATGCAAATATGGATGCATAAATAATAAAAAAATTAAATAACCCGGAGTATACCGAGAGCAAAATTGTAATATTGATGGATATTGATATAAGGTTTTAGATAGTTTTCCTCCACTTTCAGAGGTTTGGTTCGTCAAAGCTATAACAGAAAGTGGGGGAGAAAATGAGTTGTCACCGTATTATTGGTTGATGTGAGTAATTTTTAATGTTTTCCTCCACTTTCCTTGTTTAGGTTCTTTTTTTGTGTTTGGTTCATTCTTAAAAGTGGGAGAAAATAGATGAGATGAGATGAGTTGTTATTATATTATTGGATGATGTGACACATACTTAGGAAAATTAATTTCCTTGTTTTTTTGGAGGAAAGTGATGGAAGGAAATTTTAATGAGATGTGATGAGTTGTCACCATATTATTGGATGATGTGAGTAATTTTTAAAGATAATAGAAAATGAAAAAAAGTGGGAAAAAGTGAGTTAGATGAGTTGATTGATGTGACTCATTTCTTGTGTTTTGTTTACTTTTAAAAATATGAAATGAGATGTGATGGAATGAGTTGTCACAATATTATTGGAGGAAAATGGAGAGAGTGAGGAAAAATGGGTTTTAGAAAGTAGGAGAAAGTAAAAAAGTGAAGAAAAGTGGGTTTTGGATTCTGGGGGAAACGAAACAAACAGCCCCTAAAGGCTAGTTATAAGTTGCAGATCAATTTCTAGGTATACTATCTAAAACCGACGCAAATTTAATATGTGACATGCCAGTTTTATTATATATGAATACATCGTCCTATCCATAACCGACGCAAATTTAATAATAAAACTGGCATGTCACATATAATTAACAACCATATTAACTTTTCCCATCATTATACAGCAAATTATTATTAAAAGAACGGATAAAATAATTGAAGCAGTTTCTTTATGTCACTGTGTCACCAACCCCCAGCAGAGGAACACTCGAACTAAAGTTTATTAGGAACACAAAACTGTTTCTCCGAAGCCTTTCACTTTAATTATATTTTATTGCAATTTCTAGAACTGTATAATAGAAAATTACAGATATGTGTTACCTCACGAAAAATTAAAACAAAAATAAAAAAAAGAAAATACAAATAAAAAAATCGGGGTTTATCAACGCACACATCTGACCACCGTTCATCATGGAACAAGAATAAATTAAGAGGCGTTCCTTTCTTCGAGATAATTTAGCTACGGCCCCTCTCCACATACACGAGGTCCGCATTAGTCAGCTATTAACCGGAACTTAAGACGCAACGTGCTTAATTGTAAACAGGGAATTAATACAACTAGGTGGAATGCACGTGCAATGTACGTGGTTAAATATTATAATTGTTGATTTTTAGTTTATGTATTTACTATAACATAGTTGTAAAAAAGTTTATGATTATCATAATATATTAAAAAGTTTCAGATATTTCAATATATAAAATCTTGTTGGTTTCAACACTTTACCTTCCACATAATTAGTGATAAAGTCTTAAAATATTAATGATCTAAGAGCAATTTAATGATTTGGAATTCTATTTGTGAACGTGTGTGCCCGAGACACGTTCTGTGTCTCGCGGGGCCACACCCACGAGCGAGACATGTCCTGTGTCTCGCGGAGTCTTGGCAGTGGGCTTTTGTGAACTACAGTTAGCTTGATCCCAGTGGAGGGTACGTAGGCAGCCGCGGTATAGCGACGCAGCTGGTTTGACCTAGTTTTAGTCTGATTTGGCATTTCAGATCTCTCTGGTGATTTTAGTGTTTGTCCAAAATTTAAGGTTTATCAAATGATGTACGAGGTGGAGAATTGTGAACGTGTGTGTAGGCGTCAAAAAATGCTAATAGATATCCCAGACATAGAGAAAATCACTCGAAGGGACCTCATACTGCTTTAAGAAAATCAAAACAGGTATGAACTGTCTCGCCAGCGAGACAGGCTTTGCTGTCTCGCCAGCGAGACAGTGTTTGCTGTCTCGCCAGCGAGACAGGCTTTGCTGTCTCGCCAGCGAGACAGTATTTGCTGTCTCGCCAGCTGCTGTCTCGCCAGCGAGACAGTCT